CCCCCACCAAATCTTCCTACCCCCCCTTCTTCTAACCTCTGTCTTGCCGGCATCCCTTCTCTGTTGTATTCCCTTTTTCTCTTGTTTGCTATCATTGTATTTATTTTGCATCATATTTTTCTCTTTCTTAAATGTTTTTTTAGATCTTAAGTCCTTCATTTTCCTCGCTTTCTTCCTTCCTTCTTTCTTAGATGAATTTTGGGATTCATTGAAGATGGCGTCTTCATCTTCTTCTTCTTGTTCTTCAGCTTCCATCTGTATTGTCTGTTCATAGTTAACCAACGCCATTTCTAAAAAAAGAAAAGCTTTTTCCATACCATCTTTACAGGCTGCTTTTGTTTGCTCATATTCATCCCTCAGTTCCTCCAAAGAAAAAGCCATTATAGATCTTTTCTTTTCTTTTTCCCTCTTTCTTCTCACACCAACCAAAATATTCCAAAAGAAAAACAAGACAACCCCAAAGTCCACAATCCTCAATCAATCCAAGCCAAGCCAAAATTCCCCCTTTCTCTTCCAGGGGTAGTATCAGACAAAAGAAAAAAGAAAGTTCAAATCTGTGTTTTGAAGCCTTATTAAGATTTTATTTCTGTTTTCAAATCCTTAAGGCATCTCCTCCAACAAAATCCAACCAGATAAATATATTTTTTGTCCTCTCCCTTCCGACTTATCCCAAAAAGCTAGTTTTACCTGAAAAAAAAAACAGGTTTCTCAATATCCATTTATTAATTCCGTCGGGGGGGAGAGTAAACTTTCCTTTCAGCACCTCAGAATTGCCGCTTATTTCCTCTTGTGGAAAGAATCATCCAAAAAGCCATCATTTTCAGGAATTAAATTAAATATACCTTAGAGTCCTGGGTCGACCAAGAAGACTTTCACTTTTTAAAAACTTTCTCCTCTTCCTCCAGCGCATACTTGCCCAGCTGCCGGCTTCTTTGTGGCGGCCATTACGGACCGCCGCTGCACCGTCTTGGTAAAAGGAGGTTCTGCCGGCTAGGGAGGGGGTCTGCAGCACCCCCAAACCCTTTCCCGGATCCCCCCTACCTTCAGCTGCCCCTGCAGGGCAGCCTTGCTCCGCACCCTTTCGGGTCGGAGCCCCAAAAACGGCTAGCGCGGCAGGGATCGCGCAGCTTCGCGAATCCCTACCGCTCGCAAAGCCGACAAACCGGAAACTCTCGCCCCTGACTCATCTTTACGACAGTCTCAGGGTGATCCTTTTTTTTACGACTTTCTGGCGAGCGAAGCCAATGGGGGGAAGCTGGATTCACTCAACGACCGTGTGTCTCATGGATTCACTTAACAAACGCAGCAAGAAAAGTTGTAAAAACAGGGCACAATTCACTTAAGTGTTCTCTCTTAAGTGACAGAAAATTGGGGCCCCCTATTGTGGTCATAAGTTGAGGACTCCCTATATAAGCCAGGTGTCCCTCAAGTTGGTCTTAATTGTGAGTCACCTGGACACCTCCATTGTCCTTCCACCTCTTGGTTAGAGGTGATCCTGGAGCTTGGGACATCTCCTCAGGAGAGTCTCCTCCTGGTGTCCTCAGGGCGGAAGAAGAAGCCACTTGGACATCTCGAGATCTCCACATCTCCTGGGATGTCCCCATGCAGTGACGACTTAGGTGGAGGGCGCCCTTTCCCCGAAACAGGATGAGTTATGGGTTCTCCTTGGATTCGAGACCCCTTAGCTCTCCTTTCATCCTTCTTTCTTCTTGAGGGACCTTGGAATCCTGTAGGTGGTCCTTGGGATGCTTTTGGTTAAGGTGGACTCCACCCTGGTGGTCTTTTACTTCACCCTGCGGCCTGGTGGAGATGTACTCTTGGGTTCCTCATGAAGACATGGGCCTTCCCTCTTCTTCCTGGGAACTAGAACCCGGTGAGATGCTCGCCTACTGTTGCTTCAGCGTCTTCTTGGAAGTCCACCACCAGAACTTGGCCTGAACGTTAAACCCTCCTCCTACACTTCTGCTCACCCCAGACTGTTTCCCAAAATGAGTTTTGGGGTTGGGAGACTTGGGGGTGGGTGGGAAGGTGAGTCCCTACTGATCTCCTGGAGACCTCTTCAGCAGAGATGGAGGTTATTTGTTCTTCATGTTGGACCATTGGGTCCACCTTGCTCCTACCTGTTGCCTTTTTCTCTTCTTACTTCTGGTTGACCCACAACTTCCCTTCTCTCTCTTCTTCTTCCTCCCTGAACCTCTAGGTGCCTCTCTCGGACTGGCTGGCTGGCCGTTGAGGTGCTCCACACCCACCATGGAATGCAGCAGATGTCCTATCTTGGCCAGAACATTTTTGGGGTTCTCCTGCTAGGACGGCCTGATTTCCTCAACTTCTGGGCTCGGCCTGCAACTTCTCTGGCCTACTTCCTCCTCCTCTTCCTCCTCTGCTGGTGCTTCTCCTCGGGTTGGCCGTGCCTGACTCTTTCTCTCCTCCCCCTCCCCCCCTTGTGAAGGACCTCCAGCCTGGCACCTTCTCCAGCCACCATGTTCCTCTCGCCTCCGAGCTTCGTCTGCCGGTTGCTGAACATCCGGCCGGGTTCTGCCCTCCTCTTTTGGCTGCTGGGCCTGGCCTTGCGCCCGTTGCCCCTCTCGGGCCAGAAGCCTGAAGACAAGTACCCCGTGGTGCCCACCAATTACGGCAAGGTGCGTGGCATCAAGAAAGGCCTGAACAACGAGATCCTCGGCCCCGTGGTGCAGTACCTGGGCATCCCCTACGCCACGCCGCCTGTCGGCGAGCGCCGCTTCCAGCCGCCCGAGGCACCAGCTTCCTGGTCCGAGGTGCGCAATGCCACGACGTTCGCCCCGGTGTGCCCGCAGAACATCCACGGTATGCTACCCGCCATCATGCTGCCGGTTTGGTTCACCGACAACCTGGAGATTGTGGCCGGCTACGTCCAGAACCAGAGTGAAGACTGCCTGTACCTCAACGTCTACGTCCCCATGGAGGATGGTAAGCAGCGGGCAAGTGGGTGGGCACGGTAGTGTTGTTGGTGGGTATTTAGCACCCTTCTCGGGTCCTGCTGGGCATCCAGAGGGGTCTTCCCTACCGAAGGCACACCCCCCCTCTTATTTTCTCTCGATTTCTGTCCCTGTTTGAATTTGTCCCACACCTGCAACCCGACACAGCGTGCCAACTGCGCCCCTTCTTCGCCCAAGGTGTGCCCACCTCAATTTTTCTTGGGAGGGAGGAAAAGGGGGCGCAAACAGTTTTCTTCCAGCGGGCCAACGAAGCCCCCTGCGATGACCCAAAGGGGCGTGGCCCAAAGGCAACCCAATCAGATAATCCCTTTATTAGCTCCAACTTTGCCCCCCCTGCCCCCCAATGTCCTGGTTGCCTGATTACCTTCTGGGCCAGAGAAAAACTCTCCCAGCAGAGATTCAAGTCCAAAACATGGTCAACAAAAACGGTAACTTAAAGTCCAATCAAGATGACCTACAAGGTCCCTTCCGACTCAGATGATCAGGAGAAGGGCAGGAGAAGGAATTCCAGAAGTAATTCAACCCGGAACGCAGAGAAGCAAAGCCAACCCAGGATAAACTACCCGTTTGCTCCCAGCGAACGCCACTCTCAGCCCGCATCTCTTTTCAACTCTCTTCCTAATGAAGGGAATCAGGGCCCTTTCCTCCCCCGTAAGCCAGGCAACCCCCCCCCCCTTGCTCCCTTCTCCATTCCTCCCTGCGTTCCTCTCCTAGGATGGAGAGGGGGTGGGTGGGCCTGGGTCTTCCTCTGCACGCCCTCTCCCTTGTTCCACCTCTGCCCTGCTCTGCCCAGCTGGACTTTGCTCTTACCCAGTTTCCTCCACAGCCAACGGAGCCCTGCTCCCGCTCCCTGTCAGCTGTTTCGTCTTCCTCCTTGGATTCGGAAAATGAGGGTCTTTCTGTAAATGGAAACTACCGGTTGTATGAGAGCTGAAAAACACGGAAATATAGGACAGGATAGGGCGGGGCCAGATGATTGTTGGTGATACCGGTTCGCAAGAACCAGTCTGAACCGGCAGCATCCCACTAATTGGGTCAGGGGGAGGTGGCAAGGTGGTGCCCCAAAAGGCAGGAGGTCTTGTTCTTTGGGGTATCTGGGGTGGGGCTTGCAAAAGAACAGATCATCCGAGTCGGAAGGGACCTTGTAGGTCATCTAGTCCAAACCCCCGCCCAAGCAGTGAGACCTTACACCATTCCTGACAGATGGTAGTCCAGTCTCTTCTTGAAAGTGGGGGTGGTGGAGACCCCCTCCCCAAAGGAAGGAAGCTCGGGCTTGGCCAGTTTGGGTCGGTTTGGGACCCCCTCCTCTCCTTTTCTTCAGCCCAATCTCTATGGTCCTGGAGGACCCACAACCTTCTGGAGGAGGTTTCCCCAGCACACCCGAAAACCTGTGGGTTTTCCTGGCCGTCCTCGACTTAACGACCATCTGAAGTTACGACGGCATTGAAAAAGCCGCGACCAAGGACCATTTTCCCACACTTCACGCCCGTCCAAATTCCGAGGCTTGGCAACTGGCGTGTACTTATGCCTGTTGCAGTGTCCCGGGAAAGGGGCTGGGTGAGGCGTGCGTCCCTTCCGACGAGCAAAGCCAAGGGAAGAGGATTCGCTTAACGACTGTGGGGTATGGTACTAACTTAACAAACCGCTGGCGCTTCACTTTGCGACGGTGGCCAGGAAAAGGTCGTAAAACAGGGCTTGAAACACACATTTCACTTCAGCCCCAGGAACTTTGGGGGCTCCATCGTAACTTGGAGACTATCCCTCACAGGCAGTTGTCGCACTTATGACCGTTCATTTTTAGCCGTCCTTAGAAGTTACCACGGCACTGGAAAAAATCCTCGGACTTACAACTGTCCCGGCATCCTTATGGCCACGAGATCAAAATTTGGGTGTAAGTGGAGGACTTATCTCTAAGACTTGCGACCAAATTTCCGTCGCTAAGTGAGGGGGTGGTAAAAGGGAGGGGGGCGAGAGGTGCCGGTTGGGAAAGAAATGCCCAAGTCTGGCCTTAATCACCATTCGGTGCCATCCTAACTTCAAACAGTCGCTGAGCGAATTCGTCGTAAGCTGAGGACCACCTGAAGGCCACTGAATGGCCCAGTTGGGCATCCCATAACTCTCCTTCCTTCTCCCTTCCTCCTCTTCCTCCTCCTCTCCCCCTTTTCCTCTTCCTTTCCAAAGCTCCTGATTTTACCCTCCCCCTCCCCTAGTCTTCGACTTGCGACCACAATTGGAACCCAAAGCCAGGCAGTCGCTAAACGAGTTGTGCCCGACCTTTTTTGTTTGTTTGTTTTGCCCTGGTCATTAAACAAATCAAACCTTTCCCCCCCCTTATTGGGGGAACAACATAGTTATTAAGTCAATCAGGCCATCATTAAGTGAATCCAGCTTTCCTCATGGACGTGGGCTGCGACCGTCATAACTACGAGCCAACTGCCCAGTGCCTGAATTTTGATTAATGACCCCGAGGATGCGGCGACGGTCGTAAGTGTGAAAAAGGGCCATAAAAGTCCCTTTTTCCCAGCCCCGTTGTAATTTTGAACAGTCACTAAACGAAGATTACCAGCATTGGTTTATTTTTCATTTGGGGTGCCCCCTTAATTAGACAGGCCCACCCTTTTTTTTTCCTGAACCCCGAATGCCCCCCCCCCGATTCTGCCACCCCTGGTGCCCGTTTTGGATCTCGACACGCCAACCCGTCTGGGCTGCTGAGCGAGGGGGGGTGGACTAGATGGCCTCCAAGGTCCCTTCCAACTCCGTGAAGCAACTCAAGGCCCTGCCCCCCTCCTTTAAAACCGGGTCGGGGGTTTTGCAGGCCGCCTGCCGGAATTCCTGCCAGTCCTGTCTCTCTTTGCACGCGCGTGTGCAAATGCACACTGGTGGGCTTCCTTTCCCAAAGGATAAGAATGCTGGGCAGGAAAAAAAAAACCTCCCTTCCTTGCCATAAGGTTTTCGGAACCTGGCACACACACACACACACACCTGGCCCCCTCCCCACCCAACCGATCCCAGCCAGCGGAGGGGGTCAGGGGTGTGTGTGTGTGTTTGCATGCATGCGTGTGTGTGTGTGAGTGTGTGCCAGGTTCCAAAAAGTCCCTTTTTCCCAGTCCCAAAACCTTCGGGGCGACTTCCAATCCTGGCCAAAGCATGGGAAACTCTCTGGGTTTGCGTGGAAGTTGGCGGAAGGCAGAGATTTTATGATGATGATTATTATTGAATAGATTAGAGTTGGAAGGGACCTTGGAGGTCTTCAAGTCCAACCCGTTGCTATGGTGGGAAACCATACATCATCATCATCATTATTATAAACTTTTATTCATTAAACATGAAACTCAGTCAGCTGAACATTTAAAAATGTATCACTATTATAAACTTTTATTCATTAAATATGAAACTCAGTCAGCTGAACATTTAAAAATGTATCAATTATTATTACTATTATAAACTTTTATTCATTGAACATGAAACTCAG